ACTATTTTATTACTAAAAAGACATGAATCTCAACTGATGGATGGGGAACTGTCATTTTTTTTCTTACTTATAACGTCAGTTGAAGTTTTTAGTAGATTATAATATTAAATTAAATTAATATTAATATCATTAATACTAAAATTGAGTACCGCAAGATCCGTTCAAGTTATATTTCAACATTTATTATGGGATTATTCTTTGTTTAAAAATAAATTCATGCGTGAGACTGAATACACAAAGTTATGTAGATGTAGGCTACCAAAAGTTATTTCATTTATTTCAAAAAAAGTTGTTTCAAAAGTTATTTCATTTAAGACATAAGTTTTTCAACTAAATGTATAGATGTACTAAATGTCTGATAAAATATCTAAAACCGTCCTTAGGCTTTCTCTTTCAGTTTTGTTTAACAATCTCCAACTTGCAGCAAATGAGAAATATTTTTCTGGCAAAGTTTATTTGAAACATCAGCAATAAGTCACTGTTTTCATCTTTTCTTAACTCGACCTTTAAATGTTTCCAAAGATTCTTGAGTTTTGTAACATGGGAGACAACATCATCACTTTCATCCATTTTATAACTGAAGAACTTCACGCATAAATTGTACGCTTTATCTTCATTAACTTCATCATACAATATATGAAGTTCTAGCCAAACATCTCTGGCATTACTAAATGAACGAACTTTTTCATACGTTTCTTCGGTCATATTGGTTGCATAGGGGGGCCCCCCCTACTGAAAAAAAAGAAAAATTTCTAGTTTATTTTTGTCAACTCTTTATTACTGTTTATAAGAAAGAGTGCAATGTCATCAAAAACTTTCAACTTTTAATGTCATAAAATAATAAATGTAATGATTTGGATCAAACATAGTCAATATTGTTATAATACTCGCCGTCGTAACCGATTTACGACGGGTTCAAATCTTCGATTGAATAAAATACTCCAAACAGTTATTAGTTATTAAACTTTATTTACAGAAGAAATCAACTAATTGTTTATTTCTAGCAAATTCAAATTAACACAACAATTAACTTTTAAATTGTTCAAAATCTATCGCTATGACAAAACAAATCAAATATCGCTTTAAATAATTCACCGAATCGCTATTCACAAAATCACAGAGTCACGAATTTACAAAATCACGAATTTCACTAATCACGGATTTCACTAATCGCTAATCTTGCGACGTGCGCTTATATACTCTTCGCAAGCGTCGTTTCTAGATTCTTCTAGATGGTCCGATTCTAGCATACTCCAGAATGCTCCAGTCACTAGAACATTCTAGAATACGCTAGAATCTAATGCGTTCGGTAGCACGGTTATAACATTACCCCCTTCTTAGTTCTGTTCGTCCCGAACAGCTTTCGTTCCGGTGTCCGCATGGTACGGAGCCAGTCTATCCAAATGAACGATCTTCATTCTTGCTCTCGGCTTCCGATATTCCTGAATATGGTAGACGACGTCATTCAAGCGGGTGATGACTTGATAAGGTCCTTCCCACCCTCGCTGGAGCTTTGGAGAACGTCCTTTCTTTCGCTGTGGGTTGTACAGCCAAACTAACTCGTCGACAGCAAAACCGCCACTGCTTCTTTTCAAGTCGTATCTGGTTTTGGCCGCCTCCGTGTTTTTCATGATTTTAAGGCGTACGTAACGGTGGATATGGTTTAATCGCTGTCGAAGATTATCCACGTATTCTGTTAATGGTTGGTGTGGTTCAGGTGGTACGCCATATTTCACATCAGCTGGAGTTCTTAAGGTAGTCCCAAACAGAACTTTTGATGGCGTTTCTCCAGTAGTTGTGTGGATAGCACTCCGGTATGCCATAAGAAACAATGGTATATGACGATCCCAATCCCGTTGATTTTCGTCGACTACTTTAGCCAGATGTTCAATCAGGGTTTGGTTAAATCGTTCCACCATACCGTCAGACTGTGGGTGAAGAGGTGTCGTTGAGTTTTGTTTATACCCAGCAGCTTGCACATTTCACCAAACAGTTGTGACTCAAAATTCCGACCTTGATCTGAGTGGAGTTCCAATGGGACACCATATCGACTAATCCAATTGAGTACAATTTCCTCAGCGACGGTACATGCTTCTTGGTTGGGTATTGGAAACACCTCAGGCCATTTGCTGAAATAGTCCGCTACAACCAGAATGTAACGGTTTCCATAATCTGATACCGGAAAGGGTCCAGCAATATCTATAGCAATCCCTTCAAAGGGAACACCAACATTGTAGATTTGCATTGCTCCTTTTAGCCTTCTTTTGGGTTCTTTGACTGAAGCGCATGTGTTACATTTTCGACACCAGCTCTCCACATCTTCTCTAACGTGAAGCCAGTAGAATCCTTCTCGTATTTTGTCAAGAGTCTTATTCACTCCTAAATGTCCCCGAGAAGGGCCGCCATGCATTTCATCAAGGATTTCGGTCGTTCTACTTCTTGATATCACAACTTGCATGCGGTGTTTTGATCCATCAGCTGATTCCCATTTTCGTTTCAGCAAATCCCCTTCCAAATACAATGAGTCCCACTGAGCCCAATAACCCTTTAACACGGCACTTTATTCTGAGATGCTTTGCCAGTCCGGTCGCTTGCCCTCCTTCTTCCATGTGATCAGATGTTGTAGGTCCTCATCCGCAAACTGTGCATCAGCAAGATCCGTCGGTGTCCAACCGTCATCCGCTGATATTGTTGTTGCTCTTATGTCTTCCGATTGTATCTTCTCCTCGTGACGACAGCAATATTTGCATCCTGGTAAACATGGTCGACGGGAAAGAGCATCAGCATTACTATGAGTTGTTCCTTTGCGGTGCACGATCTCGAAGTCGTACATTTGTAAACGCTCCAACCATCGGGCCATCTGTCCTTCAAGATCCTTGAAGTTGAGGAGCCATCTTAACGCTGCATTATCAGTTCGGAGAAGAAATTTCTGTCCATAAAGGTACTTGTGGAAGTGTTTTATTGCATTGACTATTGCAAGTAACTCCTTCCTGGTCACACAATAGTTTTGTTCGGGCTTTGTGAATCCTCTGCTATAATACGCTAGCACCTTTTCTTCTCCGTCTATATGCTGTGACAAAACTGCTCCGATTCCGTTGTTACTTGCATCAGTATCTAACACAAACGTCTTGCCACGAATTGGATATGCTAGCAAAGGAGCATCACATAGTTCAACTTTTAACTTTTCAAATGCTGAGTCGCATAGGGTATTCCAGTTGAAAACTCGGTCCTTCTCGGTAAGTTGGTGGAGAGGTCTGGCAACTTTTGCAAAATCCTTTACAAAACGTCGATAGTACGTTGCCAATCCCAGAAAACTGCGCAATTCATTTTTATCCTTTGGAGTTGGCCAGTCTTTCACAATTTCTATCTTGCTGGGATCGGTTCGAACTCCATCTGAAGATACCACATGTCCCAAATAGTTAACTTTTTTAGAAAATAGCCTGCATTTTTTAACGTTCAGCTTTAAATTTGCCACCCGAAGTCATGTGAAGATCTCCCGTAAGTTTTCGACGTGTTGATCAAATGTTCTTCCTAGAACAATTATGTCGTCTAAATAGACAAGACAGGTTTTCCAGTTAAGACCTTGCAATACACATTTCATCAGTCGCTCGAATGTAGCTGGAGCATTGCACAATCCAAATGGCATGTCGGTGAATTGCCACAACTCCGATCCGATAGAAAACGCTGTCTTTTCGCGATCGTTCTTGTCGATTTCTACTTGCCAGTATCCGCTTTTCAAATCAAGCGTAGAGAACCAACTTGAGCCAGATAGGGTGTCCATGATGTCATCAAACCTCGGTAACGGATAGCTGTCCTTTTTAGTCACATCATTTAACTTCCTATAATCAACGCAAAAACGGGTAGTGCCGTCTTTCTTCTTTACCAAAACAACTGGTGAAATCCAGGGACTTGATGACGGTTCGATGACGCCTTGATTCTGCATTGTCGTTATCATTTCGTTTACTTATGTTTGTTTTGCTAGAGGAAGACGTCGTGGTACTTGTCGGATCGGTTTCAAATCCTGAGTATCAATTCGGTGAGTTACCAGAGCTGTTTTACCTTGGTCATTGTCACCGGTTGAAAATACGTCTGCAAAATCAGCAATCAATGCCTCGGCTTTTAGACGGTCTTCTTGATACAAATTAAGTTCATCCGGTAGATTTTTGGTAAGTTCTTTGAGTCTACCTTTGTCAGTTGGTAGAACCTTTTCCTGTTGCTCCATATCTAATGATTTCACCAAATTTATTGATTGGCAATTACCTATTTCTTCGCCTTTTTTAATTTTAATAGTGTGTTTAGCGGTATTCATTATTCTGACAGGAATAACACCATTTTTGTTCGCTTCTACCAGGCATTTTCCAATGACCGCGTTCTGTACATTTGTCGTTGAGGTTGGCTCCATCAAATAGAACTGGTGGCTCCTTGGATCGCAATTCAACTTGCCCCATACGATGTTTTCAGATGATTGAGGTAGTTCTATGTCACAATCGACTGTCACTCAAATGCATTTTTCGTCGCTATCCCCCATTATCACTTCTGTATTTCTCCATTTAAGAATGCGTTTTTCTAAGTCAATTTTGAACCCATATTTTGTCAGAAAGTCGACACCTATTATGCATTCGTCGATGATATCCGCGACTAAGAATGAACCTTCGAATAACAAGTCGCCTAGCTGAACAGTACGGACAATCTTTCCATAGACTGGTGCTGTTCCTCCGGTAGCTGTTCGAAGGATGTATTTGTTAGAAGTCTCTTTCTTCAGATTGGGTACCAAATCAGATCTTAAAATCGATTTTGTTGCTCCGGTGTTGACTGTAATTACACATTCTCTTTGATCAACTTTTCCGTTCAGCCATAGGTCGTTTCGATTTCGATGTAGTCTGGAAACGTTAATTACGGTACTGGGGGCGTCAATTCTACTAGCCAACCTCTGCCACACAAAGTGGC